TCCTGGCTTGGATCAGCGCAGCTCCAGCCATTGCAGCTAATTGGGAAGTGAACCAGCGGATAGAAGACCTCTCTCTCTCTCTCTCTCTCTCCACCCCCCTCTCTCTCCGCCTGTCCTTCTCTCTCTGTGTAACTCTTTCTAATAAATAAATCTTTTAAAAAAGATTTATGTATTTGTCTGAGAGTGAGAGAGTTAGTGAGAGAGATCAATCTTTGATCTGCTGGCTTACTCCCCAAATGGCTGCAAAGGCCATGGCTGGATGGATCTGAAGCCAGAAGCCAGAAGCTTCTTCCAGGTCTCCTACATGGGTGCAGGGGCCCAAGCACATGGGTCATCTTTCCCAGGCCACAACAGAGAGCTGGATCGGAAGAGGAGCAGGCAGGACATAAACTGGTGCCCATATGGGATGCCGGTGCCACACGTAAAGACTTAGCCCAGTATGCACAGCACCGGCCCCGTGAAGAGGGAATTTAAAACCAGGGGCATCAGCCTGATGCAGAGGAAACAAGGATCGCTGGGACCTGCTGCCTGCAGCGGTTTCTGTCTGGAGCAGGAGATGTGGCCTGAAGCTTTGTAAGGCAGGACTGAAGGTGAGGTGCCTGCCTGAAGTTCTTGCCACCTTGAAGGGCTGTCCTCTCAGGGAAAGACACTTCTAGAAAGTGTGCCCCCATTTGCTAAGGGAGCCACAGGGAAGGTTATCTCTGCCCAGGCCCCTGGGTGGCCGGGACAAAGTCTCCTGGAAGAAATAAAAACCTCACAGGAGACAGAAGATCAAAATCTTGGTACTGCAGTACAGGATTCCCCAGACTGAGAAAAACATATGAACAGGTCCGGGATGAGGGCCTCTGGGGAAAGCAACATCATAGGCGCTGTGACTGGGACACTGACTTCCCAGGAATGCGCTGCTACAGGAAAAGCCATCTTGGCTGGAGCTGACCTTGACCAAAGTGACAAACCAGGACAGCAGAGGTGCCTCCTGCAACTTGGTTACTAGATGCATTCAGTAGGAGCACCTGTTCTGCTTCTAAGAACTTTCTGTGACAGCCAGGAAGAGGGTGTAAAAGAAGTATCTTTAGAATAATTTCTCACTAGTCCCAGTGATCAATTTCTGTTCACAACTGATCGTAATGATAGGACTAAGAACCAAAGGGATCACATAAACAAGAATAGTGTCTGCAAATACTAGCTGATAGAATAAAAAAGGGAGAGAATGGTCCAACATGGGAAGTGAGATACACAGCAGACCCATAGAATGGCAAATGTCCTAACAGCACTCTGGCCTCATAATCAGCCCTTAAGGCATGCGGATCCAGCTGAAATGCCCATGAGAGTATTTCAGGCATGGAAAGCCAAGACACTCTGGGGGAAAAAAAAAACCTAAATGAAAGATCTCCACAAGTGAGATCCCAGTGGAAAGAATGGGTCATCAAAGAAGGAGGTACCTTTCTCTGAAGGGAGGAGAGAACTTCCACTTTGACCATGGCCTTGTCTAAAAATGATCAAGAGTCAGTGAACCCAGGGGGCTTCCATAGCCTTGGCAGCTCATGACAAGAGCCTAGGGTGATTACTGTCCCCATAAACAAGAGTGTCAATTTGTTAAGTCAACAACAGGAGTCACTGTGCACTTACTCCTCATGTAGGATCTTTGTCCTTAGTGTGCTGTACATTGAGATTTAATGCTATAACTAGTACTCAAACAGTATTTTTCACTTTATGTTTCTGTGTGGGAGCAAACTGTTGAAATCTTTACTTAATGTATGCTAAACTGATCTTCTGTATATAAAGAGAATCGAAAATGAATCTTGACATGAATGGAAGGGGAGAGGGAGTGGGAAAGGGGAGGGTTGCGGGTGGGAGGGACGTTATGGGGGGGAAGTCATTGTAATCAATATTCTGTACTTTGGAAATTTATATTCATTAAATAAAAGTTAAAAAAATAAATAAATTCACTATGGAATTATAAAAAAAAGAATAATTTAAAAGATAAAAGAAGCAGCAGATAATACAGGGAACAGCACAAACGAGAAAGCAGTAGACAGGCTGAAAGTGGAAATGAATCAATAGAACTGCTAGAAATGAGTGCAGATCTGTACAATTGCAGGAGGGCTAGAGAGGAAAGGAAACACAGAAGGATAAAAAATTGATGGACTGGAAGCTGGGACTTCATGAAGGGCTTATCCTGAATGCGTCTCTGAGCACAAAGATGGAAGGTTAAACCATGGATCAAATGGCCGCGCATGCCGTTTGGCCTTTTCCAGAAAGTCATGCAGTATGTAGCTCTGAGTCTTGTTTCTTGACATAATAACTTTGACATGTCTTTGTCTCTGTGATTCTAGAGTTCTTCTTATTTATTTGTTTTCAGTTTATCTTATTTTCATTCTATTTGAAATGCAGAGAAAGGAGGAGGAAGAAGAGGAGAGAGAGAGAGAGAGACCCTCTGCCTACTGGTTTACTCCCCCTAAATGTCCCTAACAACCAGAGCTCAGCCAGGCCAAAACCAGGAGCCTTGAATTCAATCCACAAATCACAAATTCATATTCTGATATGACTGGCAGGGACTCAAGTACTTGAGTCATCAACCGCATCTTCCAGGGTGCACATGGCAGGAAGCTTGATTGGAAGTGGAGCCAGGACTCAAACCCAGTCACTTTGATAAGTGAATAACCGCTATTCCAAATATCCACTTCCCTACTTCTTTGTTAATAAAGATTTATTTCTTTATTTGAAAGAGCAAGAGAGAGCAATGGAGATACGAGATACACACACACACACACACACACACACACAGGGAGGGAGAGAGAGAGAGAGAGACAGACAGACAGAGAGAGACCAACCTTCCATTCACTGATTCAATCCCTCAGATGGCTGCAACAACCATGTCTAGGTCAGGCTAAAATCAGGAGCCAGGAACTCTGTCCTCGTCTCTCATGTAGGTGGCAGGGGCCCAACTACTTGGGGCCACCTTCTCTTATCTTCTCAGCCACATTAGTGGGAATCTGTGATGGAAGGGGAGCAGCCAACACTTGAACTGGGACTTTGATATGGGATGCTGGTGTTGCAAGTGGTGGCTAAACACACTGTACCATGATACAGCCTCCTCCAACCCCAAGTTGTTTTTATATTTGACTAGTATTCCAACTTGTTGATATATCATTGTATCCTAACACTGACACATTGAAATGTATTTGAGTTGTTTATAATTATTGGTGATCGTAGAAGAATCCCACTAAAACATTTGCATACAGAGAAAAGGAGGGGGGGAGAGGGAGGGAGGAAAGGAGGGAGGGAGGGATATGCTATGGTTTGGAGGTATCCCCAAACATTCATGTATTGAAAAATTCATTCCTCAATGCAGCAGAACTGAGAGATAGGGCTTGGTGGGCAGGGCTTGTGTCATGAGAGCGTGGGCCTCATGAGTAGATTAATGCCATTCTTGAAAAGTGGGCTATCATGGGGGTTGGTCCCGTCTTCTCGGTATGTGCCTCTCCTCTCCTGAAGTCTGCCATCTTCTGAAGCGTCACAAGGCCCTCACCAGGTTCAGCTGCCTAATCTAAGAACTTCATGTGGTGGTCAGGCTACAGTTGGGATGCATGTATTTCATAGCAGACTGCCAGTTGAATCCCAGCTACCCTACTTCCTATGCAGCTCTGTGCTAATGCACCTGGGAAGTCACAGATGATGGCCCAATTGCTTAGGTCCTGCCACCCATGTGGGAGACACAGAGGGAATTCCTGGCACTTACCTTCAGCTTGGTGTGTGAGAGAGAGAGAGAGAAAGATCTTTCATCTGCTGGTTCACTCCCCAAATATATATATATATATATACAAACACATACACTTGCACACACACTTGATCACTCTGCTTTTTGAATAAAGGAATAATTCTTTTTTTAAAAAAATGTGTGCATTGGGGCTGGGGCCGTGGCTCACTTGGTTAATCCTCCGCCTGCGGCACCAGCATCCCATATGGGCGCCAGTTTCTAGTCCTGATTGCTCCTCTTCCAGTTCAGCTCTCTGCTGTGGCCTGGGGAAGGCAGTGGAGGATGGCCCAAGTGCTTGGACCACTGCACCCTCATGGGAGACCAGGAAGAAACACCTGGCTCCTGGCTTCAGATGGATACAGCGCCGGCCATAGTGGCCATTTGGGGAGTGAACCAACGGAAGGAAGACCTTTCTCTCTGTCTCTCTCTCACTGTCTATAACTCTACCTGTCAAATAAATTTAAAAAAAATAAAAAAGCTTTAAAAAAATGAGTGCATAATAGAAAGCATTTGCCACATACATCATAGATATGCCCAGTATGAATTGCATAATCACAAACTGGGTGCAGAGAAATAATGAGAGAAGTAAGTTATTATAGCAGCAGTAAAATTCCACAGTACTACTGTAGTATAACTTACCATTATCATTGTAAAATACCGTTCTTTTCTACTATAGTAATAATAGTATACTAGTAGTAAAACTACAGTATGGTATTAATAAAATAGTAAAAGCAGTAATAGTAGTGGAAACAATAACTTTTCTACTACTTACTGTGGCCCTTACTTGCAGGGTAGGAGAAAACAGCTCAGACTTGGCAGTGCACAGTAACTCGCTCGCTCTTAGCAAGCTTTTTCCCAAATAACTAAGTCTGGTTTGGGTGAAGATTAATGTTTTATCCTAAGCGATCCCCTGCTTCCTTAAAAAGGCATTCATTATGTGGAAGGTTTTATTCTTCAAGGATGTGCTTAGTTTTGTAGTGATTCTATCTCTGTGTAGTCTCTGAAATTGAAGTGAGAAGATGGTGCTTTCTCATAGAAGGTACAACATGCATCTAAAATATAATAGACAGAATTAACTCCCTGTTAGAGTTTGTCTCTGGACGTGGTGCCAAGCAATCACTTTTTCTATGGGAAGAGCCTGTGTGGTTGCTTGGCCTGTGGGAGAGCCGGGGCAGGGTCTCTGGGGAGACAGCCCCTGGCCTGATGTGCTCTTTCTCTCCTCCCCACCCGGCCTTGGCAGTGAGATGAAGCAGAAGCTGGATGAGGAAGGCAGCAAGTGCAGCATCCTCTCGAAGCACCAGAAGTTCGTGGAGCACTGCTGTATGCGCTGTTGCTCGCCCTTCACCTTCCTCGTCAACACCAAGCGCCGGTGTGGGGACTGCAAGTTCAACGTCTGCAAGAGCTGCTGCTCCTACCAGAAGCGGGAGAAAAGCTGGGTCTGCTGCGTCTGCCAGCAAGCGAGGTGAGTGGCCGGGCTCTCGCCCCGGGTCTCGGCTGCTGGCTACAGCCGGGCAGGACCTGCAGGGTGGGATTACAGATCCAAGCAGAGCACTGATTGCACTAAAGAGATTATTGAGGTGATATGGGGTTAAAAATACCTATTGGCCTTCTTAAAGTGGACAAGAGAGGGCACGGGGAGCTCCCAGGTATGAAGACAAAGGAGAGCTATGGTGGTTTTAGGACTGAAGATATTTCTTTTGGAATTTCTCCTCTGACCTCATCCTTTAGTTCATTTATTTCACATATGTGTTGGATTCTTAAAAATTGTGATGTTCATCAGAAAACATACATGACTTTATTTTATTTTATTTTATTTTTTAAAATTTGTTGAGACTTGTTTTATAGCTTAGCCTATGGTCTGTCCTGGAGAATGTTCCATGCACTGATGAAAAGAATTTGTATTCTGCGGCTGTGGGATGAGATGTTTTGTAGATACCAATTAGATCCTCTTGGTTGATGATGTAGTACTGAGTTGTTTCTTTGTTGACTTTTTGCCTCGTTGATCTGTCTGCTGATGAACGTGGGTTATTGAAGTCTCCCATGATTACTGTATTGGAACATATGTCTCCCTTCAGATCCATTAATACTTGTTTTTCATAGTTGATGCTCTAGCATTGTGTGCCCATACATTTACGATAGTCACATCTTCCTGTTGAGTTGATCTGTTAATCATTATATAATGATCTCTTTTAACAGTCTTTGTATTAAAAGTCTATTTTGTCTGGTATAGCTGTTCCTGCTTGTTTTTGATATTCCATTGGCATGAAATATCCTTCTTCCATCCTTTCACTTTCAGTCTGTGTATCTTTGTTGGTGAGGTGTATTTCTTGCAGGCAGCATTTTGTGGGTTTTGTTTTTCAATCCATTCAACTTGTTTGTATCTTTCAACAAGAGAATTTAGTTCATCTACATTTAAAGTTATTATTGGTAAGTAATGACTTGGTCTTTCCATTTTTCTGTAAATATTCCTATTATTTTGGATCTCCTTTGTACTGTTATAGGAAGTTTTCTGCCTTCACATTTATATTCTTTGATGATGCTAATTATCTTTCTCTGTTTCTGTGTATGGTATTTCCAGAGACCCTTATACTTAGTGAAATAAGCCAATGCCCAAAAGACAAATAACGTATTTTTCTCTGATATGTGATAGTTAATATAGAATACAAAAACGTATAAGAATGAAAGTGACATCTTCTCATTTAATTATTGTTTATAGCCTTTATCTATATTCCTGTGGAATAGTGGTGTTTTTTTTACTTGTTGAACATGATGGTTAGTGACACATTAAGCCTATAATTATAAAGTAAATTGAAAATGTATTATTGCAAAAATTAAAGGAGGAACAAAAAGACAGGAAGGAAAGTTTGAGAGAGAGAGAGAGAGAGAAGGGAAGTAACAATTTTAAAAATTGTTATTTGCAGGAAATATGGTGAATTAGGCAGATTGTTAAAACCCCAGAAACTTAGGTGGACGATAGACTATGTAACTGTTGGTCTCAGTGTTGGTGATATGTATCCTGACCGCTTTGTCCATTGGCTGTGAGGACACTGGGCAAGGAGTGACCAACTCTGGGGCTTGGAGGAAACTTCATAGAGGACAAAAATGGAGGAGTCAAAAATACCAAGGAGTCAGTGTTGTGTAAGGGGGGGGGGGGTGATGGTCCCCCGCTGAAGGAGGTGCCTAGTGTGGTGTTTCATTTCTTGCCTGCGTGACAGGCAATGTATTTTTTTAATATGTTCAGTACTGGACACTGATGTCTTAGTATTTGCATAGAGTGCATTATGATTCATATTTGCCCTTTATGATACCTATTTGATATGTATCCTTCCGTATGCCTGTGTTACTTTGTGTTACTTCGAGCAAGACTGAGGCTGGCTCTCAGGAGCTCCCCCACCCCTTCCTCCTTTGCTCCTCTCTCCTTCCCTGCCCTGTTTACTCATTTAGAGTTTTCACACAAGCCCTAGCATTGTCCCATAGAACTAGTTACGGTGTTGGATACTAAGTGGCTTTGAGATCTCCAAGGAATCAGTCTCTGGGCTACAAAAAGAAAGGTAGCCCAGAGACATCAATTGGTTTGTTGAGTGTCCAGTGTCCAGGGCTGACTGTTTCTGGCGTTGGAGAATGAGTGATGGATTACTTATTTTGGAAGTCATGTAATAAATGGAGTATTACTGAATCATTTCCTTTGTCATTTTAAGATCATAAATTTATCTTCTTGAAATTTATTGTATAAATTCACTGAAGCATTGTAAATAATATATATATTTAGTTAGTTGCATTATGTAGCCTTCTGCAGGAAACAAAACTTACAGAGTGAGCCCAGCCCATAGCAATTAGCTATTATCGTTTTGATGTGACTTGATTCTAGAGTGATGTTCCTCCTTACTTTAGGAACAAATTGGCTTTCTAGCTCTTTGCTTCTTAACAAAAATTGTTCTTTCTGATTTTTGTTATTTGTATCATTACCCTTAACACACACCAATTTGGTAGATTGTTTTCAGGGAATAAAAGGAAAAAAAAATCATCCTTGGAACTGACATCAAAACACATCTCCTCATTATGCCTGTGGCATTTGCTTTGGTTTTTCTGAGAAAACATATGGCTTCATTTCCCTCTTCCCCCTTGGAAGGGACTATCCTTCATTTCTCTCTGATCACTGGTTACTTAGCATTCACACAGCCCACATAATTCATGCACTAGCATACGCCCTTTTGGCATAATCTCTACCATGGATTTTGCTGTTACCCCGATGTATTTGTAATACCCCTGAAGAAGATGCAATATATTTTTTAAAGATTTTATTTATTTATTTGAGAGGTAGAGTTACAGACAGTGGGAGGGAGAGACAGAAAGGTCTTCTGTCCGTTGGTTCACTCCCCAAAGGCTGCAACGGCCGGAGCTGCTCCGATCTGAAGCCAGGAGCCACCCAGGTGCAGGGGCCCAAGGACTTGGACCATGGAAGATGCAGTATTGATTGATGTTCACTGTGGCCTAAGGACACTCACAAGTTACTAACTCCATGGGGAAATGTTGAACCTCACTAGAAATCAGGGGAATAGAGAGTAATGCTTCAAGTAGATTGTTTCTCATTAGATTATTGATTTTTTAAATATTTTTTTTACCCAGTTTTGACAAAGCTACATTGAAAAAAGCATTTTCATTTTTAGTCAAGTCTAAATGGGCATAACCTTTTACCAGCATGTATCAGGAATCTATAGCATATCTAAGAACTTCTACCCAGTAATTTTACTTTTGAAAACTTGTAACTAATGACAGAACAGAATATTTCAAAAATTGTAAAAAGAAAAAAAACAGAATAGTGCTGAATTATTTGTAGCATAAAAGATGTAAGTAATCTAAGTGGTAGAATTAGGACATTCAGTTTGACAAAATGTGATGATGTCATTAAAAAACCTGCATTTTTTATTGGCTTGGGTAAACTGTTACATTAAAGTGAAAGATGAAGAATGTAAAGTAAAAAAAAAAACTTACATACAGCGCAATCACCATGTAATAAGTAAAACAGACAAAAGGCTGAAAGGAAACACAAAATCATTGCCGTTAACAGTGAATAGCACGCGACCACGCAGATGAGAGCGCATATTTTGTTCTTCTGTTTTCCATTTAGTGTCCAAGTTTTCCACAGTTTGCACACATGCTTACATGAACAGGCATAAAGTAAATAAGCATGAAGTAAGGTAGGCCTGTGTTGAGAGGAGGACCACGCACCCGACAGCCGAGGAAGTTGCTGAGCATTTTAGGTTCGTTGGGTGTTCATGAGTTTTCACAAATTGCGTTTGATGGAATGAGGATTAAAATTGATCCTGACATCTTATATAAATAAAAAAAACTGTTATAAGAGAAACAGATAAATAAAAATTGGAAAAAAAAATGATCCTGAATTGGAAATAAACTGAAATGATTAAAATTTCTTTAGAAACACAGTATGAGAAAATAAAGGACTTGGCCGGCGCCGCGGCTCACTAGGCTAATCCTCCGCCTTGCGGCGCCGGCACACCGGGTTCTAGTCCCGGTCGGGGCGCCGGATTCTGTCCCGGTTGCCCCTCTTCCAGGCCAGCTCTCTGCTGTGGCCAGGGAGTGCAGTGGAGGATGGCCCAGGTGCTTGGGCCCTGCACCCCATGGGAGACCAGGAAAAGCACCTGGCTCCTGGCTCCTGCCATCGGATCAGCGCGGTGCGCCGGCCGCGGCGGCCATTGGAGGGTGAACCAACGGCAAAGGAAGACCTTTCTCTCTGTCTCTCTCTCTCACTGTCCACTCTGCCTGTCAAAAAAAAAAAAATAAATAAAAAAAAAAATAAAATAAAGGACTCCATTTTTAAGGACACAGACTGAAAGTGAAAGGGTGGAATAAGATACCCATGCAAATGGAAACCAAAAAAATAGAGGAGTAGCCATACATATATCAGATAAAACAGATTTTACATCACAATCAGTAAGAAACAGAAAAGGAGATCTTTATATAATGATAAAGCATTCAGTTCAGCAAGAGGAAATAATTGTAAAGATACATATTCCTAATATTGCAGCACCCAAATACATAAACATCAACAGATTGAAAGAGAGAAAATTCAATGTAATAGTCATAGGAAACTTTAGTTTTTCACTTTGAGAAATGGGAAGATCATCCAGACAAAAACCACAAAGAAATAGCAGAGTTAATGTCAGCTGCAGAACATTCTATCCAATATCTGCAGAATACACATTCTTTTTGTTTCTTTGTTTTATAGTAGTTTATTCATTTTTTTTGATTTTTTTAACTTTTATTTAATGAATATAAATTTCCAAAGTACAGCTTAGGGATTACAGTGGCTTCCCCCCCATAATTTCCCTCCCACCCGCAACCCTCCCATCTCCCGCTCCCTCTCCCATTCCATTCACATCAAGATTCATTTTCAATTATCTTTATATACAGAAGATCAGTTTAGCATATATTAAGTAAAGATTTCAACAGTTTGCACCCACATAGAAACACAAAGTGAAAAATACTGTTTGAGTACTAGTTATAGCATTAAATCACAATGTACAGCACATTAAGGACAGATATCCTACATGAGGAGTAAGTGCACAGTGACTCCTATTGTTGACTTAACAAATTGACACTCTTGCTTATGGGGACAGTAATCACCCTAGGCTCTTGTCATGGGTTGCCAAGGCTATGGAAGCCTTTTGAGTTCACCGATTCTGATCATATTTAGACAAGGTCGTAGTCAAAGTGGAAGTTCTCTCCTCCCTTCAGAGAAAGGTACCTCCTTTGATGACCTGTTCTTTCCACTGGGATCTCACTCGCGGAGATCTTTCATTTAGGTATTTTTGTTTTTGCCAGAGTGTCTTGGCTTTCCATGCCTGAAATACTCTCATGGGCTTTTCAGCCGGATACACATGCCTTAAGGGCTGATTCTGAGGCCAGAGTGCTGTTCAGGACATCTGCCATTCTACAAGTCTGCTGTGTATCCCGCTTCCCATGTTGGATAGTTCTCTCCCTTTTTGATTCTATCAGTTAGTATTTGCAGACACTAGTCTTGTTTATGTGATCCCTTTGACTCTTAGTCCTATCATTATGATCAATTGTGAACTGAAATTGATCACTTGGACTAGTGAGATGGCATTGGTACTTGCCACCTTGATGGGATTGAATTGGAATCCCCTGGTATGTTTCTAACTCTACCGTTTGGGGCAAGTCAGCTTGAGCATGTCCCAAATTGCATATCTTTTCCCTCTCTTATTCCCACTCTTATATTTGACAGTGATCACTTTTCAGTTAAGTTTCAGCACTTAAGAATAACTGTGTATTGATTACAGTATTCAACAAAAAGTATTAAAAAATATGAAACGCTTCACGAATTTGTGTGTCATCCTTTTACAGGGGCCATGCTAATCTTCTCTGTATCATTCCAATTTTAGAGAATACACATTCTTTTCAGCAGTGTATGGAAGAGTCTCCTGGGTAGACCATGTTGTAGGTCACAAAGCAAGTCTCTCTCAACAAATTTTAAAAAATAAAAATAAGAGTGAATATCTTTCTGACCACAAGAAGGAATTAGAAAAATGTCTTGAAAATAATGAAAATGAAAACACAGCATACAACATCTTTAGGATACAGGAAAAGCAGTACTACGTGGAAAGTTTATGGCAGTCAATACCTACAGAAAGATTCCAAATAGCAACTTATCATTGTACCTCAAGAAACTATAAAAACAAGAACAAGGCAATGCAGAATTAGTAGAGATAAAGAAATAAAGCATGGAAAAGAAATAAATGAAATAGATACTAAAATTTAAAAAAACTTAATGAGAAAGGAAATGGTTCTTTGCAAAGGCAGATGAAATTGACAAACATTTCTCTGCAAAAGAAAAAAAAAAGAAGATCCAAATAAAACTCAGAGATGAAAAGGGAGAGATTGCGACTTATACCATAAAAATACAAGGGATTGTTAGAGATTATTATGAACAATTACTTGGCAACAAATTTGATAACCTAGAAGAAATGAACAAATTCCTGTCCATACATTGCCTTACAAAGATTGAATCATGAAGAAATAGAATGCCTAAACAGACCATTAATTAAGTGGTTTTGAATCGGTAATAAAATATTTCCCATCAAAGAAAAGCCCAGGACAAGATGGCTTCACTGCTGAACTCTACAATATATTTAAAGAAGAATTAACACTAGTCCTTCTTAAATCATTCCAAAAAATAGAAACTGAGGGAATTCTTCCAAATTCACTCTACAAGATTAGCATTCCCTTGATACCAAAAACCAGGCAAGTACATAACAAAAACAAAAAAAGCTACAGGGCAATATTCTTGATGAACATAGATGTAAAAGTCCTCAACAAAACATTAACAAGTGAAATCTGAGAGCCCATTAAAAATATTATTCACCATGATTGAGTAGGATTCATGGCAGGGATGCAAGGACGGTTTAACATACAAAAATAAATGAACATGATACACAGGATCAACAAAATGAATGACAAAAATCGTATCATCATCTCAATAGATGCAGAAAAGGCATTTGATAAAATTCAAAATGATTCATGGTGAAGACTGTGAACAAATTAGGTTTAGAAGGAACGTGCCTGAACATAAAAGCCACATGTAACAAACCAGCAGGTAGCGTCATACTGGATAGAGAAAAGCTGAAGGTTTCCTAAAATCTGGAGTAGGACATGTTTGTCCAATTGGATCGTTTTCATTTAACATAGTATTAGAAGCACTAGCTGGGGCTGGCGCTGGCACTGTGACTAGCAGGTAAAGCTGCCACCTCCAGTGCTGGTGTCTCTTATGGGCACCAGTTTGAGTCCCAGCTGCTCCACTTGCAATGAAGCTCTCTGCTATGGCCTGGGAAAGCAGTAGAAGATGGCCCAAGTGCTTGGGCACTTGTGCCCATGTGGGAGACCCAGAAGAAGCTCCTGGCTCCTGGCTTTGGATTGGCTCAGCTCCGGCTATTGCAGCCATTTGGGGAGTGAACCAGCAGATGGAAGACACACCTCCCTCTCCCCCCTCCCCCTCCCCCTTCCCCTCCCCCTCTCCCTCTCGACTCTCGACTCTCCACTCTGACTCTATCAAATAAATAAATAAATCTTAAAAAAAAGTACTAGCCACAGCAGTTAGGCAAAAGAAAGAAATAAATGGCATCCAAATTGGAAGGGATGAGTCAAATGACGTAATCTTGTATTGAGAAAACCCCAAAGACTCCACGACAAAATGATTCAAATAAATAAATTCAGCAAAGTTGCAGGATACCAAGTCAGTATACAAAATGAGTAGTTTTATTATACACCAGAGAGTAGATTATCTGAAAAGGAAATCAAGGAAGCAATACCATTTCCAATAGCCAGAAAACCCAAACAAAACAAAAACTGACCACTAAATTTAACCAAAAATAGGAAGATTTCTACAATGAAAACTATAAAACATGGATGAAAGAAACTCAAGACACAAAGAAATGAAAAGATTTTATTTTGTGTTTATGGATTGGAGGAATCAATATTGTAAAAATTTCCATGCTACCCAAAGCAATTTATATATGTAATGCTATCTCTACCAAAATACCATGACATTTCCCACAGAATTAGAAAGAACACTACTAATACTTTTATGAAGCAACAAAAAACTCCAAAGAGCCAAAGCAACCTTGAAATAAAAGAATAAAGCAAGACGCATATACTACTTGACTTTAATTATTTATTTTTATTTATTTGACAGGTAGAGTTATAGACAGAGAGAGAGACAGAGAGAAAGGTCTTCCTTCCATTGGTTCGCTCCCCAAAAGGCCGCTGCGGCTGGCGCTGTGCCGATCTGAAGCCAGGAGCTAGGTGCTTCTTTCTGGTCTCCCATTCGAGTACAGGAGACCAAGCACTTGGGCCATCCTCCACTGCCTTCCCAGGCCACAGCAGACTGGAAGAGGCGCAACCAGGACTCGAACCCGGTGCCCATATGGGATGCCGGCACCGCAGGCAGAGGATTAACCAAGTGAGCCATGGCGCTGGCCTTACTTTACGTTAAAATATTTTACAAAATGTAGTAATACTGGCATAAAAACAGACACATAAAACAATGAAACAGAAGAGAGATCTTGGAAGTAAATCCACACATTGACAACCAACTGGTCTTGGATGCAGAAGCTAAGAATATGCATTAGAAAAAAGTCTTTTCAGTAAGTGATACTGGGGTAACTGGACATCTGCATGCAAAAGAATGAAACTAAATGCCTATCACTCACCAGATACAAAAAAAATCAACTCAAAGTGTGTTAAGGACATAAATCGTGAAACTGCTGGAATGAGACATAGAGGAGATGCTTCAGGACATTGAAGTGGGCAAGGATTTCTTTTTAAACAGACCCTTAAGCCCCAGGAAACAAAAATAAAAATGGACAAACGGTATTTCTTCAAACCAAAGAGTTTGCACAGCAAACGAAAGAACCAACAGTGCAAAGAAAAAACCCACAGAATAAGATAAAATATTGGCAAGTTATAGATCTGATGAGGAATTAATAACCAGAATACATAAGGAACTTCAATAATCTAATAGCAAGAAAAGAGTCCAATTAAGAATTGGCAGTAGGTCTAAACAAACATTTCTCAAACGAAGACACCTTAACAGCCAACAACTTCATGAAAAAAAAAAAACATTCACTATAACTAATCATCAGGGAAATGCAAATCAAAACCTCAGTGAGACATCATCTTACTTCTGTGAGATCAGCTGTTATCAAAAAGACAAAAGATAACTAATTCTGACGAGAATATGGAGAAAAAAACTGGCAGGAATGTCATTTAGTACAGCTATTGTGGAAAAATGGCACAGAACTTCCTCAAAAAAATGAATAGAAATACTGTATGATCCAGTGGTCTGTCTGTTGGGCTTGTATATCCATTGGAAAGGAACGGACGCTGTCAGAGGCATTTGCACTCCCATGTTTACTGCAGCGCTATTCACAATAGCCAAGACATGGAACCAACCCAAGTGTCCATCCTTTGATGAACGGTAAGGAAAATATGGCTCACATACACAGTGGAATACTACTCAATTTGCAAAAACATGCATGTCACTGGAGGTCACTGTGTTAAGTGAAATACACAGAAAGACAAGTGCTGCATGATCTCACTCATGTGAAAACTGAACCAGTTGATCTCATGGAAGTTTAAAGTACAATGGTGGTATAGGGAGACTAGGGGAGAGAGGGTGGGAAGAGATTGATGAGTGGGTTCTAAGTTATACTTAGATAGAAACATTAAGGATCCTGATGTTCTGTTGCATGGTAGGGTGACAGCAGATAATGATCATGTACATTTCTCTTCAAAAATACTGAGAAGGGGACCCGTGCTGTGGTGTACAAGGTCAAGCCTCTGCCTGCGCCATCGGCATTCTATGTGGGCTCTAGTTCAAGTCTTGTCTGCTCCTTTTCTGATCCAGCTCTCTGCTATGGCCTGGGAAAGCAGTAGAAGATGGCCCAAGTCCTTGGGCCCCTGCACCCAAATGGGAGACCCAGAAGAGGCTCCTGGCTCCTAGCTTGGGATCAGCTCAGCTCAGGCCATTGCAGTGATTTGGGGACTGAACTAGCAGATGGAAGACCTTTCTGTCTGTAACTCTACCTCTTAAATAAATAAATCTTAAAAAAAAATAACTACAATAAAAATGCCTGGAAGAAATGATTTAGGGGTTGGCGCTGTAGTGCAGCAGGTTAACACCCTGGCCTGGAGCGCCGGCATCCCATATGGGCACTGGTTCAAGTCCCGGCGCTCCACTTGGATCCAGCTCTCTGCTGTGGCTGGGAAAGCAGTAGAAGATGGCCCAAGTCCTTGGGCCCCTGCACCCATGTGGGAGACCCAGAAAAAGCTCCTGACTCCTGGCTTCAGATCAGCACAGCCCGGCCATTGCAGCCAATTGGGGAGTGAACCATCGGATGGAAGACCTCTGTCTCTCTCTCTGCTTCTTCTCTCTCTGTGTAACTCTGACTTACAAATAAATAAATCTTTTAAAAAAGAAGAAGAAGTAAGGCTTTGGAGTGTTTTCACCATAAAGGAATGGTGAATTTCTGTGGAGATGGATTCGTTTACCCTGATTGGAGATTAAATACAGCGTACAGATGTATTGATATATCACACGGTACTCTACAAATATGTACAATTTAAAGTCAGTTAAACATAAAATAAGCTTCAAAATTTTTTTTTTATTTATTTGAAGGGGGTAGGAAGGAGAGAGAGATATATACTGGTTCACTCACTCAAATGCTTGCAACAGCTGGAGCTGGGCCAGACCAAAGCTGGGAGCCCAGAATTCAATCCAAGTCTCCCAGGTGGGTAACAGAGACTCCACTATGTGAGCCGTCACCTGCTGCCTCCCAGGGTTAACATTAGCAGGAAGCCGAAGTCAGGACTGAAATCCAGACACCCAGTATGGGCTGCAGGCATCAGAAGCAATA